TTTTTGTCTCAGGTTTGTGTAAAGGAAATGGCTTTAGAATGGTTTCCTGTATATTGATAAATTGTTAACGTGCTAGAACATAATTATTAAGCTTTTGATTTGCAAACTAGATAACAGCTAAATCAAACCTCTTTGAGGTTAGACTTAGCATATGGTATACATTTTGAGCTTGCATGGTCAGGCCTAGCTCAAATTGTGTCACTTTGTTTCTTGATTTTCGATGGCCCCTCCAGAGGCAAGCAGAATAGCATAAAAGTTATTATTAAATTTGGGTTTGCAATGTTAGGTCTAGCTCAAATCACATCACTTTGTTTCTTGATTTTCAATAGCCTTTTCTGAGGTAAATAGAATAGTAAAATTTTTTTGAAATATTATTTGGAATTAAAATCAGGCTAGAATGGTTAAATCAAACATTATAATTCTTGGTATCAAATAGGTTAATTCCTAGTCAAATTTGATATCATCATCTATAAATGAGTTAAAATTAGCTAGAAGCTTGAATTTTATAGTTGATTTATATAGCTAAAATTGGTTCGTGAGTGGTCAGAAAACCTTTCTGGATATCTTTTGGATTCTTTTGGATTCTTTTGGATTTTTGTCTCAGAAACCCCATTTTTGCCTTACTACTCAACCGCCCTAAAAGAAAAAAAAAAAAGACGATGATGAGGAATTAAAATATCCTGCTTCTGTTATAAATGCTAGCTAATCCAACCTTTCCCACTTACTCCTATAATACTTTTTCTCTGTAACGAAAAGAAGATGAAGGGGAAGATAAAGGGAAAAATGAAAAGAAAGACAAAGGGGAAGACAAAGAGGAAGACAAAGGAGAAGACAAAGGAGAAGAAAACAAAAAAGGATACAAAAAAATAAAAAAGATAAAACAAAAGGGAAAACGAAAAGAAAAACGAAGGAGAAGATGAAGGGAAAAATAAAGGGAAAAATGAATAAGGGAAAAAAAACAAAAAGGCAAAGAAAAAAAATCTAGAAGGAGCGAGAAAAAACGAAAGCAAAAAACGGTAAGATAAAGTGAAGATGAAAACAGGTAATTTTTTTTCTTTTAATTTAAAAAAAAAATTATTAAAAATTTTTATTTAAAATTTTTTTTAATGTATTGTTCGAAAATTTAAAAAAAAAAAGGAAAATAAAAATTTTTAAAGACCGTTATTTTTAATATAAATAAAAGTAAAGAATATAACACAACACAATTATAAATATAATAGATCAGATTTCAGATCAGACCCAAATTCAGATTTGACAGATTCGATTCAAATTTTATAAATTTGATTCGAATTCAATTTGACAAATCAGATTTAGTTTGAATATGATTCGAATTTGATTCAAATCTGATAAATCTAATTCAAATCTGAAGTTTCAGATTGGATCAGATTCAGATCGAATCAGATTTTTTGTGGAACCATACCCCAAATACTCAACTATACAGATTTATACTGATAGTCAAGCTACCATTCATGGCTTTCATTCTCACATTACTTAACAATCATTTTCTATAAGAACTAAAGAAAATTCAACCAACTGTACATTATGGTATCTCATTCAATATATAATGAAATCTTCTGAAATCCAAGTTTATCTTCACAAAGTTAAAGCTCATAATAGTAACCTTTCTAATAATGTGGCTGACTCACCAGCTAAAGCTTATCGTGATCTTTCTTCTTTATCTTCTTCCTTATTTATACTCCTAGATTATCTCTGATTTTCGCCTTCAAATATTTCTATTGAATCTTCTATTCGTCAATTCTTAAAAATCTTTTCTCGGCTTTCAACTTCTCAGCTTTTTTAAATCTTAATAGGAATGATCACATTCATACTCATAATGATTTTTACTGACCTCTTATTTGGCAATTCTTCACCCTTAACTTCTCTTCCATATCAACATCTTTTGAAACTTCTCGACTCAAATCTATTATTATCAAAATCTTTGTCAAAAAACTTTCTACTTTCTTTCAATTAAAACAATTAAGACCTAATCTTTATAAAAATTGGTGTTGTGTTAGTTGCAATAGTACAACTGAAACTTCTACTCATATTTGGTCTTGCTCAGCCTACTTCACACTTATCAACAATATCATCTTACAAACCAAAAATCATTTATTAACTGATTTGAAAAAACACTCGAACCCAAACTCATATTATGACACCTACCTAAACTACTCTATTTTTACGATGAACTCTTTGCATCCCTTTCTTCTCAACTGATGGATTCCTAAACGTTATTCAATGTCAATTTCCCAATGAATTTATTTTACTTAATCACAAAATTACAAAGAATAAGAATCATTGCTATACAACTATTATGAATTCCTTAATCTTCTTCTTTAAAAATCTATATGATAATGTATGGAAATACAGATGCAAACTTCTCATTACTTATGAACTTTCAAAAGGCATTAATAAACAAATTAAACACAAACAATATTCCTGCAAACGTTTACTGCATTCCCTTAAAAAACCTTCATCTCTAATTTGAGAATCATGGATTCACAAGGCAAATAAATATGGTAACATTTGGACGAATTTTTAGATAGGTACTGACTTTCTTCTTTTTTTTTTTCTATTGATAACAGTAGTTATTAAATATGCATTTAGTGGGTCTGTTGAAGGAAAAAGACGATAATAGGTCAATTCAAATGGTTTGTAATTAGTCCAGAGTATTAGCAAAGACTAATTACTTTCTATACATTGTGTCTATTTATCCACCCGCTTATTATTTAAAATGACGAATATCAGCTATTTATAAATACCGTGATATATTTTCCTAAAAAAGAAACTGCCTGCAACATAGATTTAATAAATTCTCCCTAAAATTTGTTTTATTTATTTTTATTAGATGTAATAAATAATAAATAAATTTATTTTCATTTACATATTATTAATAAATGTCATTGATAGAGTTCGTTTATTGCATTCAGATAGGGTTGGTAAATATCCTAATAAGTCCTAATTGATCTTAAAGAATTTAAAGATAATTTTAATTTATATACTATTAATTAAATTTTTTAATAATAAATTAATCTTTTTAATAATTATTATATATCAATTATTCTATTAATTTAAAATAAAAATATTCTTTAAAGATAATAAACATATTTAATTTAGGACTTGATCATAGGTTTAAATTTTTAAAGATATTTTAAATTTTAAAAAGAAATTTAAACTTATTTTAATAAGTAAATTTAATTAAAAAATTGAATATAATAATAATATTTAAAAAATTTAATCTTTAAAACTAATAAATTTTTTAAAATTTATCAGGACCAATTAGGATCAATTAGGCCTTTATTAACCCTACATTTGGAACAGATATACTAAATATCGTTCATTTTATGTTAGAATTTTTGCAATGTGCGACGTTCATATTCATTAATATTGGTGACTGATACTGGTTGGTAATTTATATTTATATTTTCTCTTTGGTTTCTTTCTTAGTTTATTAGATCTAACTATATTGTTTCATCATCGTTTCTTTGATTTACTTGATTTTGACTATCCGTCTCATTTATATTTTAATTTTTTTGTCTTTGAAGTTTACATTTTCTTTTATTCTCGTAATTATTGCATTTCTTACATTTTTTATTAGTCTTGTTTGATCTTTTCTGTCTTTGCCATTCAGATTCACTTGTAAGTATTTCTTTACGTTTGTTTTTTGTTTCTTCTGCTCTTTTTTGATGTTTTCGTTCACTTTCATGATCAAGACATGTTTAACGTTATTTGGAAGTTTCTTTGTTTTTGCTATTTCTTTTTTGTATTGTTTTAGGGTTAATACTCATTTTATTTTACTTTTACTTATTAGTTTTATATAGATTAAATGTTCAGGAATTTTATGGTTATAATCGTTCGTTCATGATTAGAAGTTGAAACTGTTCTTTATTAATATTATTTTATTACATTACATTATACAAAGGGGAATTTAATACATTTATTCATTAAGAACAACAAAATTGATCTATCTATGTTGCATTCTATTCTATTAACAATCAACTTATTTATTCATCAAAAACAATAAAAAGGATCTATTTATTGTATTAACTATTAAATATAATGAATTTGATATTATTAGAGGGGCTAATTATATTTTTATATTATTTTCATATTGTAAATAAATCAATCTTGCTTGATTTAGGAAAATTGGTAATTAATAAAGAGTTTCATTTGTTTTTTTTACTATATGCTAATAGTATTGTTTATTGATCTCTTATAATCTGAAATAAAAAAAGATTCTTATATAATATTACAAAGTATGTAATTCTGATTTGCATGATATTTCACAATTTAATTTGCATAATGTATAATAAATTGATTTTAATCTGCATAACATATTCAATGATATTGACATAATTAATTTACGTGATCTTAAGCTTTGGACTTTATAATGGTGATACGATTTCTAGTATAACTACGGAGGAATGCTAGTACTTTAAAATTAGTTTTTTATTTAACTTTTGTATTTACTATGATGCAAATAGTTTAGTCACATCAAATGGTTAAACCACCACTAAAAATCTTATCAATCATTACCATATTAATCAAAGTTTGATTGGTCGAAATTCTAGCATGTGGCTAATTTTAATCATGTGATACTAATTAAATCATGATATTTTATGTCATTTTACATCATTTGCATTCTTTCTTTTTTATATCTCAATTTAATTAAATGTTAAAATGAAATAAACGTACTAGACAGTCTTGAGAAGCTATCAAGAAATGTTAGAAATAACAAAAAATTCTGAGATAGTAATGCTTGAACTATCAGATGCTGAATCTGATGAATTTGATAAATCATAGTTTGGCACTTTTTGGATAGAAGGTGAGGAAGCATGTTTTGATAGTGATAAAATTACAGATGAAATGCAAGCATGAAAGTCAGGTACACTACAACAACTAGTCGAAAATGCAAAGTCATATGCATGAGATGTAGATTCACATAAGCCAGTATATATTAGTGATGCAGAGTCAACATTGCGTAACAAAAGGGCATATTGGAGAAAAGCAGTTTCATATTCTAAGAAAATCACTTAAATGTTTCTAGCAAATAAAGCTACTAAGTCTAATACAAATAATACAAATTTGATGTATATAATAGTAGCGATAATAATAATGAATTTGTATTAGAATCACTGGATTTTTATTAAAAAAAAGAAAGATGTTTTGCGGCTTTAGATGGTAAGTCAATTTCTAGGACCAAGGATACACAAAAATGGATGCAATTAATATTTTGCCCAGAGCTTGAACAAAGGTCCTTGACAAGTACGGCTTATCCGCTTCTAAACAAACCAATTGCTAAATAGTGGTATAATTGTTTCATCTAAATGTGAACGATATGCAAAATAAGGTCTCTCTCTTTGCATAAAGACGTTAAATTGTGAGTTACTGAATACTTACGTACATATAAATTCACGTTGAACATTGCTAATTAATAAATTCATTGAAAATGAAGTTATTTCTGCTATTAAAATAAAACAAAAGGCAAGTATCTCTTATTCAATTGCACGTGAATGGCTGCATATACTTGGTTGGGAATATAAGGATCACTCAAAGAATATTTACTTTGATGGTCATAAACATGAGAACGTAGTGGTGGATAGACATCAATTTTTGCAATAATAGGCAGAATTATAGAAGCAAATGGCTACTTATGAAGGTGAGAATTTAGATCAGATCGTCTTACCTGTACTTCCACTTGGTATTCCAAAAATCATTTCTGTTACCCATAATGAGTCAGTCTTTTATACAAATGATGATATTGTTAAAGCTTAGGGTCTGGCAGATGAGAGTCGACTTCATTGTAAGTTATAAGGTCTTAGCATTCACGTAAGAGACTTTCTTTATGAGTCTATTAGACGATTTCAGCTTTCAGAAGAGGATTGTTCTACTAACAATTTACTTTCTGATGATGAGCGGC